CTTACAAGGTGATATGAGACTATAATAAACTGATTCAAAGCTTTCTCTTTCTTGCAACTGTGCATCAAAATCATCTGAAGTATATTCGATGTCAGATTGTACTTGTTCAAATTCTTTAAACATTTTCTCGTATTTTTCTACCCGTAATTCTAATTCAATGATGAGAGTTTTGTCTAAAGCCTGTAAAGAAACATCTTGCATCGCTTCCTCTAGCTGAGTAATATATTTTTTGAATAAAGTGAGCTGTGCTTTAAACGCACCTCGTTTACGGATAAGCGTTCTAAGAGATGAATCTTCCATGTTTATGGAATGTCGAAATGTAAGCACGACGCACAAGAAAGGTGCGCGTAAGAACGTGTATGTATGAAATTTCAAAAAATTCACACAAGTTGGTGTAAATTGAAATCTAAGTTATACACCGTTTTTCAGGTAAGAATTAAGCAATTGAATGAATATGCTTGAGAATATGCAGTTAGGCCTTTGGTAAGTATGAAGGTATGAAAGGAATGGGCTCACTGCGTAATCTCACTTTAGCTTGCAGCTGGATGTGTACCTTGGAATTCTGAGTGGAACGCCACTGTCTTCCTAGTTCACCGTGGTCCACACGTAGATTGGCCGGTTGAGTCAGCCGCCGCCGTTCGTGGTTCACAGCTGCGATGTTGCCGCGCTGCCTCCGCTGCAATGGCCGCCGTGTTGCTGCCACCTAACCTCACTTTCTGGACTTGTGAATTTGAGAATTTCGGCTGTTCTTCCAAGGGAATTCGACTTCTCAGGGTATTCACGGCACTGATTAGATCCGGCTCGAAGGACCAAAATGTTTTTTGTAATATTGCTGCTGATGAGAGGTGAATCAAGAAGGGAAACACCCGCTCAAAATGTACGTGTTTATTTTCGAAGGTCGTACAAGGAAGTCTGTCTTTCTTAATTGCAACGTCGCTTCTTTTCAGCCGCGCATGCGAATATAGCGGAAATAATTATAGATATTGTATAATACATAGAAAAAAGTTTTGAGGCGTAAACAGTCATCGTGCCGTAAAAAACACAATATAAGCAATACTTACTGTAGCTACATGATAATAATAATAATAATATTTATTCACTCAATGTACAAAGATAATAAACAATATGAGTAAATAAATATAAAATCAAAACAGGCCCAATAGAAGGCATCGCCTGTACATGGACCAATAATTTTAAGTTGCAACTGTAGAATGCAAATGACAAAAAAGGACAAAAATTAGCTACAGTAAATTATGTATTTACTTGATGTTCGTATTTATGAGTTTATGAATTACAGTCCTCGATTTAGAATGTAGCCACTTTTAAAAATTTCTTTTGAAACAATTCCTGATTAACTGTGTCGAAAGCTTTCTTTAAATCAACAAAAATGCAGATTGAAGGGATTCTGTTATCAATATTTTGATGTATTTGATTTACAATTTTAGTTATTGCGTCCGATGTAGCCTTCCCTTCTGTAAATCCATATTGATTTTCACTTAAAATTTGGAATTTTGTGAGGTATCGAATCATTCTAGTAGATAAACCTTTGCTACATTGGATATTATTGATATTGGTCTATAGTTGTTAACATCTGTTTTTGTTCCTGATTTATGTATCGGTATCATATTACCTTTTTTTAAAATTGAGGGATATATGCCAGATTCAAAGCATTTGTTGATTAGGTTAGTAAGGGGTTCTGTTATGTCCTCGGCTATAATTTTCAAATGCTCGCTTTTAATACCATCGAACCCAGGACTTTTTCGATTTTTTAAGGACATAACAGTGGTGCATACTTCACATTGCTCGACTTTATCCAAAATAAATGAGATCAAAGATCTTTTTGGAGGCTGAGTATTTTGTACATTTGCTTGTATATTACTTGCTAAATTTTCCCATATGTCAGTAAAAAATTGTACAAATTCATCGCATATTTGTTGAGTATTTTTTAATACTGTTCCAGATGTTGTATTTAACTCAGTGACACACTCTTTAAATTTTGTTTTCCCAGTAATCTCATCAATAGTTGTCCAACCCCGCTTAGGATCATTTAAGTTATTATTCAATTTATTTAGGTAATGTTTTCGTTTGGTTTGCCTTGCAAGCTCTATGAATTTATTTTTATATTGATTGTAGCAGTCGGTATTCTCTGTAGTTGGCGTTAGTTTCATTACATTATACAGTCTTTCTTTTTTTATTGCCGATGTTATTAATCCTTTGGTAATCCAGGCATTTCTGCTTTTCTCTTTGTGACTAATTATTACTTATTGGTACTAATATCTATTAGTTTTTTTATTTTCTCTATGAACAGTCCCGTTGCTTTGTCTATATTGTTTATAGAGTATAATTGTTCCCAGGATTCTTGTTTGACATTTGATATTAGTTTTGAATTGTCGACAAAAAATTTTAAATTGTCCTGGTTGTTATTAACGGTAGGGATGCTAGAATGTTTTTCATTTGAAGATATCAGTAAAATAGTGGAGAAGTGGTCAGTAGGTAGGTTTATATAGGACAGAAATCCGTTACTTGATAGGATATTCAAGTATTCATTTGTGATGGGATTATCGTCCAAAATATTTATATTGACATCTCCCAAGAAAATATGTTGCTTTAAATGAACGTTATTTTTATTTTGGAAAAAAAATCGATATTCTTTAAAAACTCGTGGGGTTCTGAACATGGCGGACGATAAATTGCAGAAACCTCAATTTTGTTGTGGTTAATTTGGATCATTATGTTTAAAATTTTGATTCTATCGGTGAAAGTGAATGTATCATTGAAGTTTTTTTCTTATAAAAACTATCACCCCACCGTTTTGGTTATAAGTGCCAAAGTTATACAGCGTGTAATATCTCTGCTGATCGAAGCAAGAAATATCAACCACTTGCCACGTTTCAGTTAAAACTATTAGATCAAAATTGTACCATATTTGGTCGAGTAGTATTTTTAGGTAATCAATATTGTCTTTTTACTCCTTATGTTCATACTAAAAATTCGAAACTTTGCATCAGAATTTTGTGTACATAAATTAAGTTCATCGACGTTTTGTGCTATATTTGTTGCAATATTTGGAATTTGGAAATCATTAATGTATTTATTCACTGACATTTTTAGGTTCTCTTTAGAGATAGGAGTATCAAAAGATGAACTTGAATTTTAAAAAAGCATCCTTAAGTTTTGTTTTTCCTGATAATATTTGAACGATGGACAGTTTTTGTCGGTAGGTGTGTGGTTGCTATTATAATTTTTTTATATCTTTCATTTCCATATCTACAGTTGCAGCATTCTATTGATACATGCTTACAATTTTCTCCTTCGTGACCGTTGCCACAGTTGGCACATATCTTCTCATTCCGGCAATTCTTTTCTGTATGATTAAAACGGTAGCATTTTCTACACTGAGAAATGTCGTTATTTTGATATACTGTCAAACATTGCCACCCCATAAGTATTCTTCTATTATTCTCTTCGAAGATTTTTTTGAATAGCTTTCCAGAAGTTTCCGCGTAGATAGTGTAATTGTTTCTTGATGGAAAATATTTTATAAACTTTACTTGTATGTCTCCACTCTGAATCATATCAGTCCCTTAGTTGAAAAAATGGCATCAATTATGTTAACCCTACATTTCTCACGCAAAAATGCTATTACCTGTAGAAATGTGGCCGGTGTCGAGAGAAAAAGAGCTTCTCTCGACAACGGGTCAGCGTGTCCATTATAGTTGGACATTGTATCAGAGCCTGATCTAATACTATGCTATGTCACTGCCTACTGGCCCAGCTTCTACATACATATTGGTCTCATAAGTCAAAAACACATATGCAACACAACAGAAGAGGAGCCTCTAACTTTTCCTTCACCGATGCTCTATTGAATTAACACGTTCACTTACACACCGATATGTATTAATTCCCCATGTTTGTCAGCCCTAACGGTGACCTTCTTCAAATACAATTGATACTTTTCTATCTTCCCCGTGAAACTTCGTTTGTTTTTTCTTTTCATTTACACAGTACTTTAAAGCGACAGGATACGTTCCAGATGTTACTTCATCGGACATGTGTGTTGTGCAACTATGGGATGGGTCAGGATCTTAAAAAATGTCATTAAGCTAAATTCCGCGCTCCTCATAGGGTGATATTGTCTTTGAAATGAAAAATCGGACTATTGTGCAGATCCTTTGAGTTCTTAAGATTTGAAAATACTCGAAGTCATGGTGAGGAGATGATTTCTAGTAACTCGCTATTTTAGGCTGACAGTATCGCTATAGCTACCAACATATCGTTAGATGTCCACTCAAGATAAGGTTTTTAAAAGATACAGAATCATATGGTTCAATTTCCGCCATGTAAGCCACTCGAGATTTTTATCACTAGTGTTTATGCAAGTCAGAAGACAACCATACACGTGACTTCGAAGTTGAGTCATTTATTTTAACAGTGAGTAGATCTGATCAAAAGAAATGTTTTTTTCCTTTACCATTTTTCTGGTAAAATTAAAGTAACAAAGTTATAGCCCTTTGGAAGTTTGAGTACCGCCCTGTCTCAATAATAATATCATGTGCTCGTGTTTGGCAACAACGGATATAATCCGCCTTACCGGTTCATCGCATCGGAAACAAAAAAGCGAAAGAATTTGGAACGATGTTTTTACAATAAATTATTTTATTCAGTTCAGTTATACATACAGTCAGTGTCAGTCGGTTAGCGTGTGAATAGTGTCTGTTGCGTGGCTCAAACGAAATAAAAAATGGCACATGTTTATGCGGATCGGTTTCCCAATCGAGTGCAACCAACCCCTCGTGCCTTTGTTAATGTAGTACAACGGGCTCGTGAATCAGGTGACTTAAGACCTCACAGGGGACCTCACGATCAAATACAGGTCCGCACTGAAATACTTGCCGGGAGGATACTTTATAAAACAAGGTAAACATTTTTTTTTATTTTTTTTTTATTTTTACACACATATTCTGGTTTATCTTCCTTCTACAATCATTATCTGAAAATTAATGACTCAACTTCAAAGTCACCCTGTATATGCCAATCACTGATATAGTATATAAAAGCTCGACTGAATACATACAGCCTTATTAAGTGTGTGTAGACACAGAAAATACCTACACAACAATGGCGTTCAAAGTCTTGTTGACCCTTGCCGTAGTAGTGTGCATCGCAGGTACGTTACACATAATTTGGGTTTTTCAGTTGTGTATTTTTCTTATTTTGAGGTGCTACACATTCAGCTCCTCATGACTACTTATTATAAAACTGATTTCATACTTAGGAAGAAAAATCCTTATCGTCCGTTTCATTATCTATACATCTAGAAGGGAATAATAATAATAATAATAATAATAATGATAATAATAATAATAATAAATAATTATAATAATAATAATAATGCTTATTGTCACAAAATACAGGTAAGTAATACAAGTATCAAATATTGTGCACAATATACATAAAACATCAAAAAAAGTTTGCACTTGTGTTTGGGTTTGTTAAAAATAAAAAATAAAAGTGTTTGAACAAAAACACGTAAATTTGGGGAATTGAATTTGTTATGGGGATATCAGAAAAAATATCCAGACAATTATAACTAGAGTATAAGTATGGATATTAGTGTAAGTTAAATATTACTGATTTTGATAATGATTTTCTATATCTACAGTATCGTGGATGGAGCATCTTGGCTGTTGTGAAATCCATTTTAGAATTAACCGTAAAGTAACAGAGATAAACAACAGCATAATAAAGATTATATAGATATTTATTATCCAGAATATCTCTGAAGTACCTGAATTTTGAAATAATATACCACAGTCTCTTCACAAGGTACTCTGTATGGGTATTCCATTTTGAGTGTTATCCAAAATTACGCCTAAGTATTTTATTTTATCGGCTGACTGAATCTCTTTGAGACCACTGCTTGTATGAAATTCAACTTTTTTAAATTGTGGTGAGAGCCCATCTTTGCAAGAACATGCTATATAGTGTGTTTAGTTGTAATTGATTGTCATAGTTCTTTCCGAAAAAAAATTTATAAGTGTTTTGAAATCATTTTGGTTATGCCACGGAAACCTAAGCTTTCCAAAGTTGTTAAAAGCGATTCATGAGTAATAGAGTCGAATTCCTTTGCCAAGTCAACAAAAACACATTCAGTTAGTTTGTCAATATCGAGATACTCATATATTTTACTGGTTAATTCTACAATAGCATCTTGAGTAGATTTGCTTTCTTGAAAACCATATTGCTGTTCCGCTATTGAGTTATATTTTTTGCAGATTCGGTGAATCGTTTTTTTAACACTTTTTCAAGTATTTTAGAAAAATTGGTTAAGATGGAAATCGGTCGACAGTTGATGGGTTTTTCTCTTTCTCCATATTTAATTATTGGTTTTACCATAGCGTGCTTTAAACATGTAGGGAGTATTCCTTTAGTCATACAAGAATTTATCGAATATGACAGTATGCCGCAGATGTTGGAATTTATCCTCTCCAGAGCATATGCTGTTATATTCTCTAGGGCTGGAGATTTTCTTGATTTTGATTCAATGATTATTGTCTATATTTCATGCGTATTGGTCGGATCCAGATATAATGAGTTATATAATCTGGTCTTACTATAATTTAATTTTTCCGCCTTTTTTATCTTTTCTGACCTGTTCCCGATTTTTGAAAAATATTCACAAAATTAATTTGCATCTTTATTCACTAGTTCACCATTTTCTTTTTTAATCGTGCCAACTTTGTTGTTTTGTCTTTTGTCTTGTATTTTATTGATAAATTGACATATTTTGGACAAACATTTTTGAAGGTTGCCAAACTCTTCTTGTCGATATTTAATTTCAGCTTCTTTAATTATTTTTGTCAGTCTGTTTCGATATAATTTAAATTCATTCAAAAGATTCAAATCATTTTTTGGTTCCTTAAATAATTCTATTTTTTTTGGTTGATAATAATTCCTTTTGATATCTATGTTTGTCTTTTTATTTGTGTTCGTGGAATCTTTACTGTTTAGGTGCATTCAGCAATATGGCTTTCAATGCTAGGTATAAAAAGGACAAATTCATCTTCGATATTAGGCTCGTTATATACTGTAATCCAATTTTCATTGAAAAAGTTGTTGTTTAGTTTTCACAATCAATGTAAATTTTTGTATTACTCACTGTCTTTTCAATTTTTAATGATATACTCTCAAAGTAGGAAAATGATCAGAAATGTTATATTTTAGGATTTCTGAATATATCTTCTCAAGTTCTATACGTGAATTTATAAACATATGATCTATACAGCTCCCACTATTTCTCCCTACACTTGTCATTTCGTTAATCGCTGTTAGGTAATCATATCCAGCCATTATATTTGAATAATCTTGAATATTTTGATTGTTATGATTTAATATCTTAATGTTAAGATCTCCAATGAATAAGTTGATGTCAAGTTTTCTACTGCCCTCTAGATAATCATGTAATTCACTATTAAATGATGCTACAGATATAGAGGCTGATTTGTATACACCAATGACCTGTATCCATTTGTTATTCTTATGAAGAATAACTCTTAAAAGTTTTGTTTGAGTTATAGTTATAATTTCACACTAACTGTTCAAATTTTGTCTTACGTAAATAAGAACCCCGTCATTTTTATTATAACTGCCATCGTTATGATATAAAACATAATCTGGAATTTGGATAAAACTTGTATCATATACCTTAAATGTTTTAGTTAGCACTATAACAACAAATTTAAAATCTAGTATGACCAACAAGGCATGGAGCTCATTCATATTTCTATGAATGCTCCTTATGTTCGTGTGAAAGATGTTCAATCCTGAATCAAAATTATTAGAAAAACGTAACTTTGTCATAGGTGAATCATCTAAAATATGTTAATTCTGGTCTAAATTCCGTAATGTATGTACCCATAAATATTCCTTAGCAATTTAGAATTAAAGTTCTTGATATATGTCTTTCTTGGAAACATTTAAATATAGCATAACATTTATCTGTAGGGGAGTGATATGTATCATAGTTTCTATTGTACTTTTTGTTTGAATACACGCAGTTGCAACAATGGGATTAGTAGATTTATTGCATGTGGTAACTTCATGTTCTTCTCCACATTTGAAGCATACTTTATGACTATTGCATTTCTTACCAGAATGATTAAACTTAAACCAATTTGTACACTGACATACCCAATTATTAGCATATACTGATAAAATTTGAAAACCGATTAAAATTTTCCCTCCATTATTATCAAATATTTGTCTGAATAGTTTACCTGACACCTCTGCGTGAACTATGCTCATCTGTTTTTGAGGAAGGAATCTAACATAGGTGATTTTTATATTTTCGCATAATATCTTCTTCTATTTCACTTTCTTGAAGTTTTTCTTCAGAGTGGTGGCCAACAATCTTTATTTTAGGATTAAACATTTTCGGTTCGGATAATGTACCTATATGTTGATGGTAGATTCTTCCCAATTTATTCTTTTAGCTTCTTATGATACCGATCTTCTACATATAATTCAATACCACCATTTATAGAGTTCTTAACAGTTTTAATTTTGATGCATATTTTTGATAATTTCAAATTTCTGCTCAGATCATTCTTAGTTCCGTGGTTAGACTGTTGTTGTTCGGGAGTAATGATAAGTGTCTTTTCTTTATTCTTTGATGGTGAATTTATGACTGCTTGGGCATATGTGGAATTTTTTGTTGTGGATGTTTCCTCTAACTTCTCAATTCTCCTAAGGAGTTTCTCAAGTGGTGTTACTATACAGTCCCTATCGACGATGTTTGATGAAATAAGATCATACTGTTCTTGGAATCTGTGGTTTTCGTTTGGTGGTATGTTAATGTTTCTTTGTCCAAAGGTAGTGCTTCAGAAGTTGCTAAATCTTTCGTTTTTTCTAACAACTCCTGTTGTAATAATTTATACTGTTTTTTCAAGTACTGACATGTTTCTTGCGTTGACATAATAGAATCACAGCTAATATTTACAGTCTCGTCTTCGTCCTTTTTCTTTCTCCGAGTCATTTAGAATTTTGTATCACTGATGTAGCTTGTCAAAATTTTGTCAAAGTTGTACATGAATGATAACGGCCAAAAGTGCTTTACCTCGTATATTATTATATATCTAATATTTTCAAAATAACTTTGTCGAAAGTAAACTTTATTTTATAAATCATATCAATTGTACATATTTTCTAAATTTAATCTAACACACTCCACGCGAGGCCTCGGACTGTGAATAAAAATTCAATTCAGCCGAGTTCTTCTACGTCACTGCCCAAATAAGGCAGGTACGTAACGAGTACATATTTTACTCGATTGACCCATAATACCAACGTATATCTCTAGGCATAAAGTTTCTAACTTTTATAGGTAGTCGGACCTCCAAGGTAGTCTTTCCACTTTGTTCTATTTGCCTCTATTTTTAGTACTAATTCTACATATCTGCAGGTCTCGTGTTACATCCATGTCTCGAATAATATTATGTGTTTAACATTCATTTACTTCAGATAAATCTCATCTCGGTAGCTTGTATGTGACTCTCTTGTTTTTTAATGGGTGATTTTTTGCTAGTATCTTTTTGGCAATACTGTTTTTGACAGATGACGCGTGAATAGTGTCTTGTGTCATTGTCAAACTTGTTCAGTTTGGTCTATAATTTAACCATGAATCGACTTACGAACGAACAACGCTTGCAAATTATTGAATTTTACTATCAAAATTCATGCTCGGTTAAGAGCACTGCTTCCAATTTATGGGCAATTTGGTCGGCCTACTGAGGGAGCTATTCGGAAGCTTGTGGCTAAATTTCGAACCCAGTTTACATTATTGGACATTAAACCACCAACAGGCAGACGTAGAGTGAGGACTGAAGAAAATATTGCGGCTGTATCCACCAGTGTTAGTGATGACCGTGAAATGTCGATTCGCCGCCGTTTGCAGCAATTGGGCCTCTGTTACTCCACTACGTGGAAAATTTTGCGACAAGATTTGGGTGTAAAACCTTATAAGATACAGCTGGTGCAAGAATTGAAGCCACACGACCTCCCACTACGTTTTCAGTTTGGTGAATGGGCGCTGGCAAAGTTGGGGGAAGATCCACATTTTTATCAAAAAATTGTGTTCAGCGACGAAGCTCATTTCTGGTTGAATGGGTACGTTAACAAGCAAAATTGCCGCGTTTGGTGTGAAGACCAGCCAGAAGCATTGCAAGAGCTACCAATGCATCCCGAAAAAATCACTGTTTGGTGTGGATTATGGGCCGGTGGCATCATCGGGCCGTACTTCTTCAAAGACGACAATGGCCGGAACGTAACTGTGAATGGCGAGCGCTACCGTGCGATAGTAACAAACTTTTTTTTGCTCAAAATGGAAGAGCTGGACTTGGCTGACATGTGGTTTCAACAAGACGGTGTCACATGCCACACCGCACACGAAACAATGGCACTGTTCAGAGGCGAGTTCGGTGAACAGTTTATCTCACGTTTGGGGCCCTTCAATTGGCCGCCTAGATCGTGTGATTTAACGCCGTTGGACTATTTCTTGTGGGGCCATGTTAAGGCTAATGTATACAGGGATAAACCAGCAACGATTGACGCACTGGAGGCCAATATTGAAGCATTTATTCGTGAGATACCGGCCGATACGTTGAAGAGCGTGTGCCAAAATTGGACCTTGCACATGGGCCATCTAAGGCGGAGCCGCGCCCAACATTTACATGAAATAATCTTTAAACATTAAATTATATCGACCGTTCTATCGACTAAAATAAAGATTTAATCGTTTTTTCAATTTTTTGGTGTTTTTTTGAAAATCAAATCCTATACCTCTTGAAAAATCACCCGTTAGTTCTTGTTTCGCCCCCTATACAATACCATCGTGGAGACAGCAACCAAATTTAGTTCATATAAAACCTTCCTCAACATTATTGTTGGAACACCGAACTGAACCAAACGTACTTTGTTAAGGCTTTTTCTAAATGATCTACTTATTTGCGGTTCCTTTTCTCCCCTTTCTCTTTACTTTTTTCCGTTTTGAAATTGTCTCCCATCTTCATATTATTACGATTTACTCTGAATAACATATTTCTGTTTCCAGTTGCCTACGATCTGGACACCGGAATGTGGGTCGCCCACTGCGCCAGAAATGCAACTATTCATGGAGTACCAGCAGCTGGAGTGCCATCACACAGTCCTGCTTTCGTCACAAGATTCGTCAGAAATATCACATTTCCCCTCGGACTTGCTGTGTAAGTTCATTATCAAATATTAGTTGAATCTACGATTCTTACGATTACGTCACAATGTAAACGGACAGACTGACTGTATCATGCGCGGCGCTTAAATTTCATAAGGCAAACTGCATACCGCGGAAGCCAATCCTTAATGCAGCTGCTACTGGCTCTTGCACACACATACATGAATTAGATGGATCGTCGTTTTCATTTGTTTTCTGAAAATCCCTCTATAAATTTAGTACATACTGCCAACATTGTACTTATATCTCTTATTTGTCTATCAAATATTATCAAAATGTAAACTCAAATGGCTCGCCTATAGCAAGTAACCTGTCCTAGTGATAGTGGAAAGCATAGATGTGGATTGCTTTTGTATGTGAGGGAGATGGATGTATGAAAACAATCCCAGTAGTTTACTGGGATTCTCCTAAAGCCGTGAAAAGACCTATATGTCGTACTTATATAAAAGGCAGTACTAAGGTTCGTTTACTGCCATTTTTGAATTTTGACGCCAATTCATTTCTTTTATGATTACAAATATATCATTGATCAAGTGATTTCACAAAAATAGTGTTTTTTTAATTAATTACAAATATTTGTAGAAATATTGATGTTACTATGTCTGAAAATGACGCAAAATTACGGACCGGCTGCTATTGTGTCAAGAAGTTCAAGGCAACCATTTCCAGCACCTTATAAACTGAACTCAACGTATTTATTCGAATTATCAAGTTAAATTTCAATGTATTCAGGTAATTATTAAATGTACCACCATTTTGTACTAGGTAAAGGTATTAACTTTATATTGTAGGGTTATAAAGTACTCGTCAGGAGCTTCAAAATAATATGCCACAAGACCCCCGTTTTCATATACTTTGTTTTCAAGATGGCGCCCAGCGACTATCTTGACATTTTCATCTGTCAATTTTACTCTAAAATATGGTATCCACGCATCAATTTCATTGCCTCAAGTTTTAATTTTTTGAATTGTTCCGTTCAAAAAATTCAAGGGGGGGATATTAAAGAAAAGCACTGTATATATATATATATATAGAAAGTAGTATTTCTATATACAGGGTGACTTCGAAGTTGAGTCATTTATTTTAACAGTGAGTAGATCTGATCAAAAGAAATGTTTTTTTCCTTTACCATTTTTCTGGTAAAATTAAAGTAACAAAGTTATAGCCCTTTGGAAGTTTGAGTACCGCCCTGTCTCAATATCATGTGCTCGTGTTTGGCAACAACGGATATAATCCGCCTTACCGGTTCATCGCATCGGAAACAAAAAAGCGAAAGAATTTGGAACGATGTTTGTGTACAGTTTATTATTTTATTCAGTTCAGTTATACATACAGTCAGTGTCGCGTGTGAATAGTGTCTGTTGCGTGGCTCAAACGAAATAAAAAATGGCACATGTTTATGCGGATCGGTTTCCCAATCGAGTGCAACCAACCCCTCGTGCCTTTGTTAATGTAGTACAACGGGCTCGTGAATCAGGTGACTTAAGACCTCACAGGGGACCTCACGATCAAATACAGGTCCGCACTGAAATACTTGTCGGGAGGATACTTTATAAAACAAGGTAAAAAATTTTTTTTAATTTTTTTTTATTTTTACACACATATTTTGGTTTATCTTCCTTCTACAATCATTATCTGAAAATTAATGACTCAACTTCAAAGTCACCCTGTATACAGGGAGTCCGCAAAGTTGGGATTTTCCTTTACATGACGTGTAGATCTTGAAAACATAAGCAATTTTTCTTAGTTCCATATACACCAATGTCTTAAGAGAACCGAGATAAAGGGCTCTGCAACATCAAAAATATCTGAATACCGTCCTGTAGCCGCGACCCGCCGCGATATCCCAGACTGGTACCGGCTACTAGCTGAACCCGACGACAGAACTGGGTCGGGGGTCGGGGTCAGTGTGTCAGGTCAGTATGCAACCTTCAACCGACGGTAAAGGGTCACGCGTATAGAGGTAACGAACCCGTATAATCGATTGCGTTTCAAAAAAAAAATAATATTAATGGCACACTCATACACCCATAATGAACTCGTTGATATGTTGTTAATTTATGGCGAATGTCTTTAAAATGCTACAGAATCGTCGCGAGTGTATGCAGATCGTTTCCCTAGACGACATCATCCAAGGCCCCGCAGATTTGTGTACCTGGTCCAGAGAGTCAGGGATACGGGCCCTGTGGAGGAATTTCGAGGTGGGCACAGTGGGAGGCCTAGACAACCACGAATGGTGCAAGTTGAGGAAGAACTACTGAATCGCGTAGACGAGAATCCCTCAACAAGCACTAGAGACGTGGCTAGTGTGGCAAACGTCCAACGTGTACAAGCCCTTCAACCTGACGATTTTCCAGCAAGAGTGCGGTTTTGTGAGTGGTTGTTGCATCAACATGACAATAATCCGGACTTTTTGAAGTGCATATTGGTGACAGACGAATCTACGTTCACGCGTAATGGGGTGAATAACTTTCGATTTCAGACAGAGATGTACTTAGCCCTTCTCGTCAATTGGAGAGTGAGTACTTTTTCCTTTATTTTTTTTACTTGGTCGCCCTCGTTTCACTACACATTACCTTTGTTATTTCAAGGGTAGTTGTTTCTGAAAAGGAAAACCTCAACTTTGCGGACACCCTGTATATAGAAAATTATCACGCGGAGAAAGGTATATAACAAAAAAAATAGGAAAATAATGGGCAAAATCCGCAAAAGAAGGTAAGTGGATTCGAGCAGAAAATAGGATAGGTAACCCGAGCAATATGTATTTCTGCTTGTTGGCTTCATCAGGCCCGAAATGAATGCACATATGCTACCACAAAAGTAGATATACATGCCCACACATCCGGATACGGGTGTCACCTGAGGAAACGAAGATTGAGAGGGAAAAAAGTTGACACACGAAGTCCCCAACAAGAGCCAACCTACACATTGTAGCATAAAATGGCTAGAAGGCTTCGAATTTTCAAGGCGACATCAAACCACAACCACGCGGCCGGTTATAGCCACTTGCTGTGGTAATTCAAGCCCAAACGATTATACGTATACGTATTGCTCGGGTTACCTATCCTTATTTTCTGCTCGAACCCACTTTCCTTCTTTTGCGGATTTTTCCCATTATTTTCCAATCTTTTGTTTGTTATATATATATATATATATATATACAGGGTGTTCATTTGGAAATCTCTCACCACCGATTTATCGAAAACCACTGATTAAAATAAAAAATGCCGAGACACGTCAAAGGATTTGTCCAGGAGGAACTAAAAAGTACTTTACCCCTTTCACCCTCTGCCCCTCAGGGTCATCCCCCTAAAAATTTTAAATGACAAGGGGTATCGAGTAATAGCTTGCCTGAAAGATCTGTCGATGTCCTTTATTTTGATGTTTGATTGTTTGAAATCGGTTCATTCGTTTTTGAGAAAATTACAAAAACCTTTATTTATCTCAATTTGTTCAGATAGAAAACAAAAACACACGAAAATAACACTTTTTACTTTCGTTACTGCAATGATATACACAATGTTCAAATTACTGACGGATATTTTCAAAAACATGTTGTGGCATATCATGACGGCTTTCGATGATTCGTTGACGAAGTTTGTCCAAACAGGTTGGAGAGTAAACACAATAGATTTCAAATGGCCATAGAAAAAAGTCTAATGGCGACAAATCAAGATATCTAGCAGGTCATTTTATAAGCCCCCTTCACCCTATCCATTTATCTAGAAACTCCTCGTCTAGCCATTGTCATACCGGAAGAACATAGTGAGCAGGAGCACCGACTTGCTGGTAATATATTTCAGCCTCATCAATTATAGGGTTTCCATCCTCTTCGATTTGGTTCTCAATGGTTTCAGTGATAAGCGGATTGATGGTATATTCTAAAATATCCAAATAAATGTCACCATTCAAATTTCCATTAACAAACAATGGCCCAATTTGTTGCCTAAGATGCGCATACATTAATTTTTTGGGGGTACTGGGTATGCCACTCTACAGGTTGCGCCATCTTTTATGTCGGTATGTAAACATGAAATAACTTTGAAAACGAAAAACTGATTTCTATATACCGGGTATCTTTATTAAATATGGTCCTTTACAATAATTACTCGGACTAGTTTTAGACTACAACATCTATCAAGTGGCCACTTTGATTGGCCAAAACAAAATGTGCCCGTTTTGCTGCGTTTTCCATTACTTTTTCGAGCATCTCTGGTGGTATAGCGGCGATTGCGGTACGAATGTTTGCCTTGAGTTCTTCAGTGATCTGGGGCTTGCTGGCGTATACTTGTCTTTTCAAATAACCCCACAAGAAGAAGTCCGGTGGGGTCAAATCTGGAGACCTGGGTGGCCAGTCAATGTCACCTCTTTTTGACATCAGACGTCCAGGGAATTTTCGTTGCAGAAACTGGATTGTCTCATTTGCAGTGTGGCATGGCGCACCGTCTTGTTGAAACCAGTAACCATCAAGTCCTTTTTCAAGCATTTGTGGGCAGACATAATGAGCCGACATCCATCGATATCGATTTCCATCGACTGTTTCGTTTTCGTTGAAGAAAAATAGCCCAATGATGGTTTTGGCACAAACGCCGGCCCAAACAGTCACTTTCCGGTCATGCAGCGGCATTTCGTGGATCTCATGTGGATTTTCACAATTTGCTCAAAAAATCTGGTTCAGCATCAATCATGCGAGCGACTGTTTGGGCGTATTCCAAGCGACGTGGACGGTCAGTTGGCAATATTTTTTGTGTTAACTGCACCTTATAAGGATATTAATGTAAATCATCATTCAAAATGCGCAGCAACCTGCTTCCACTAATGCCAAAATGCTGATCGCAGTGACGATTCCACACTTTTGGGTTCTGGGCAACTCTGTCTCTGACGGCTTCAACCAATTCATTGGAACGTCTTTGTCGTTGATGAACGGTATGTTGACGATCTCCTCTGATCTCCCACTGTCCCGTACTCAAGAAAATTCGAAACCAAACGACG